ATTGTGATGAACGTCTTCTATAAAAGTATATTAGAATACTACTTTCAGTTGTTCAGTTAATTTATTTTCCTAAAGACAAGATAATAATAAGTTCTTGCACGACATAGAAAAGTAGAACAGGGAAATAGTACTCAGACATTTTTCATAAAAGAAAGTCTTTTGTGATGACATATATAGAGAAGTGGCAACCGAAAGTGTAGAAGGAAAATGTAGGGAATATGTTGTACTTTAAAAAACAAAACATGCAAGAACTTTTATATTTAAAAATCAATTTTTGCGACAACATCATTGCAAAATTCACTATCCAATCGTTTTGGATCTAAAAAAAGTTCCTTTCTTATTCTCGAATAATAAGATGATGTATTGGTACTCGATTTCCAAAACTTAGGAGTTCGGTAAACAACTTTAGCCTGGCCTACGGGCCACACTGTCATTAACTCTGTTGTGTATATATATGTTGTTGATAGATAACCTAATTGAAAGTTTGATTGCTGGTTTATGTGTTAGAAAAGATATTACTAGAAACCTTCTACTAACTTGTTTACATCTATGTATACATTGATATAGAAATCATTCGTACCTGCAATAATTATGCAAAAATAGATAATTGTTTAGAAAAGTGAAGAGTGAAATATAACAAACATGGTCCTATCAAAATGTATCATTCACATTCTCTTAATGATGAAAGTTTACTGAAAAAAAATTATAAGATACTCTCTTCGTAGTAATCCTATAATTTTCCGATAATCTTCATATTCTTTTGAAAAGTTACAGATTGCTTTGTAAATGGTCATAACTTTTTTCAAACGATGTATTTTGCCCGTATTGAATATGTTGCTACTGGGTATGGCCAAATGTTACGGAATTTCATTTTTTTACATTGTAATACCTATATCTCCTCAGTAGTAAAAGCTAACTCTTTGAAGTTTTTATCATAGACAGAGACTATTAAGTTCTATTACTAGTAAAAATTTCATCGGCTTTTTCCTTAGCCAGAGCTAAGTTATTCCAAGAATAGTGACCGTTACGGAATTTCAAAAAATGGAATCTTTTTTGAGGGTGATGTGAGAGTTGAGCATTTTACTATGACTCGAAGTGACATATACATAACTGTTTTACG